TATGTTTTTGTTAAGCCTCTTCTGTCCTGTGTTAAGCCTATGGGGAAAAGGCATTGCTCGCTCTCTTGCACGTTGCAAAGAAAACCTGATTACTTCTGATGCAAACACTTATATCAGTTGAAGCGCAATGAAACTAGGCACAAAATAAGGGGTTTAAAGATGACTGGTTTTGAGTCTAACTTAAGATATAGCTCATGAAGTGCTAGGATAGCGAAATCGCCTACTGTGCAGTGGGGGGGGGGCATATGTTACCACCCTGTCGCGTTTTTCGCGTGTGAATAAAAAACCGCGGCGCGTAGCGCCGCGCCGCTTGGGGTAGCTTTTCGCACATCAATTTTGGACAATGTGTGAAATTTTTGACCCCAGGTCATGTCAGGTAAGGTCACCAGGTCAAGTTAACTGACCAAGCCTAAAAAAAAAGTTTGCAATCATGTCCAGCCTGCAGTGTTTGTCAGAAAGGTTTTAAACTTGGTGGATTGCATGATGTTATGGGCGCCTACAATTTGTATATCTCGGATTTTTTTATCCGTGACCTAAGGTCAGGTCAGTGGCGTGACCTTACCATTATAAGTCAATGGAGAAAAATGAAAATGCCTCTAGATCCGTGTGTACGCATAGGAACAGTCCAAATATTTCAGAATCACAATGATGTGGACCACCCGTGACGACCAAGTTGTCGTTTTTGCTGATAGCCTCTAGAAAGGTCATCCGAGGTCATTTGAGGCTACAAACAGATTTTTGCCAATAACTCTCGATTGGAAAGAGATAGAACGCTGGGGATGGTCTCATTGTGTTTGTCTTGCCGAGACGCATCGACTGATATGCAACATGACCTTTTCCGGTCAGGTCATGACCTTGACCTGAGGTCAAATTTTCAAGTTGACCTTGCAAGGTCAAATTATAGTTCATTCGATGCGTCTCGGCGAGAGGAACACGGTTCTGGCAATAGAAATGTCGTGGCGTTTTTTTTTTTTTTAGTCAAAAGTTATTGTCGAAAAACACTTTTCGTAAAAACAGATATTTTTGGAGTTTTTGCCCTCTGGAGGCTAAACCGTTGACCTGAGGTCAATTTCGATGATGACCTAATCAAAAGAAGAGTTTAAGAGCTATCGAATGCTTTTCAACGCGTTTTTCTAACTATCATAGTTCCTGAGATAAATGCATGTTTTCGAAAAAATATAATGACATTTGGCAAATTTTGACCTTTGATGACCTCCAGTGACCCCAATATTGCTCTAAGAAGAAAAATGACCGAAATACTTTCAAACGTACGCATTGAGAGCTATCGATTGCTTTTTACCGCGTCTTTCTAGCTCTCTTAGTTTTTGAGTTAGAGGTGGGTGGTAACATATGCCCCCCCCCCCCCCCACTAGGGCGAAGTTAGCTAAGACCGCCACTGGGGACGCTTTATCAAAAGCTTGTCAAAAATCGACATTTTATCGTGCATGTCGATAACAAAATTAATAGAACCGTAGGTCTGGCTAGCAATGCTCCATGGGCCTCCAAATAAAGATATGTAGGGAAAATGAAATCTGCGACAAGGTATCATCGTATCATCATTCTTCGAATAATTAGTATCATTGAATAGCCTGTAAAATCTTTTCCCGGATGTGATTTTAAAACCAATATATTCTTCCATTGGTTGTTGGCAAAAAAATAATCAATCATGGGGTTCGTCGTTCACGGCCACGCCCCGCTCTCATCGGGGAAATATGCAGCATGGCTTTGTTCCACAACTAGTGCCGTGAAGTGATAGCAGATTTCCCTTTAAATAGCGCCTTACTGTGAAGAATTGAGCACTTTATCGGACACCTTCTTGATCTAGAATCGGTCGATTGCATTGTGCGTGTCAACATGAAACTTGACATAACTCGAAGTTTATTGTTATCAGGCCCAGGAATGCAGAATGAGCCGTGAACACTGAACTATGAACGAGTAAGGAAATTGAAATCTGTGACGAGATGTTATTTTGATGTTTCGAATACCTAATTAGTACTTAGTAGGTGCCAGTGAATGACCCGTTCGGACAAGATTCCAGATTAAAATTGTTATTGCTCTGCTTCTTAGCAAAAGCAATAAGTCTGCACACATCATAGGCCACAGTGTACGCTCCCATTGCTATAACATGCCGTAACATGCAATGCAATGTCGGCTGGACATTCCCTCTGTTACTCAAAAAGTGCGATGAAGTGATGGCGGATAATCACTTGAATTTAGTGTCATTCTGTGTAGAATTAAACGCTGTATCGAATGCTAGTCTAGAATCATATGTCAATGGTGTCTGCCAATGCAAAATTGGCAATTGCACTGCAAACTTGAATTTTCTCATGGGACCGGCCGCCGGCGGGCCGATCGTCACATGACCCCAATCTCAGGAGCCGGTCAAGGTCACATGGCCTGAGTACAGTTAGTAGTTCCCAGATTCGCCGCCAGAGTAGCGCCACTTGGAACGGAATAAAAGAATGCTACATTGCGCGGTAGACTTTTAAAATGAACTTGAATATTTCTTCCTTGCCGACAGAACCCCAATGTCCCCGCTTGCATTGCTCGGGTGAGACTAAATGCTTACTTCGAAATCTAAGCTGTGTTGCGGCATTGGCGGTTATGTGCGGCGTGTATGCCGCATGATTAGTAAGCGGCGACCACTAAATAAAAAACTAAAGCGCTCCAACCTGTTTTCAATGAATAACACTGCATACCAAAAATGCCAATCGCTCTCATCATAAGATATTTAGATTTAAATAACTAAGTTATCTGCATCATCATTTTGAACCAAATTAATGCTTTCAACTTAATACTCACTCATTCCTTCCTTCGTTGGCTCCCAACAGTCTTTCGATTGTCTGGAAATCGTATGCCAAATCCCGCACCTGTATACGACTGGTGCATATAAAGGCCGATGTAAGAATTTCAATAGGCTCTCACATGCGATTTCCTGGCTACCCAAAAAGTATGTTTCAGTCATGCTATCAAAACATGGTATGTCAGCCCTGTCACCAGCTTATGACTGCTCTGCTTGTAGTGCCCCTGACCGTCACCGACTCCCTTCCCTCCTTAAAAGCCTAGTTTCCCTCCATCATCTCTCCACTAGATTTAGGTGATGCTCCGACAAATTCACAAACAAGACCGAACTTGTCCGGAGTTCGGACTGTGAGTTAAAGGGACCATCCCACCTTAACATTAGATTTGAGTTGAGATAGCCAAAATGGGGTCCCTGGCTCACAATTACCGGTTTCGGCACTCACAACATCGAGAAATGCCTTAAATCGGAAATATTGAATTTCAAAATTGCAGCATTTTGATTCAGAGGGGCTAATGCATAGGAATACCCCTCTGAATGTGTGACGTCAGCGCAGATATCTAACGATTTTTAAATGTTGGACTAAAACGTTTTGTTGCACGCGGTGGTATATGCTGCTTTGCGCGCAACAAGTGCCGCACTTTCAGCTGCCAAATTATAGCTTCCAAATAAAGTCGCTAGGAACAGCGGAGATCCCAAAAAGTAAACAAAAGTGAAAGTCTAATATCTTGAAAACCGGTGAATATTTTTCGGTGCAATTTGGTAGATATTCGTTTTCGCTCTTTCTGAACCGAGCGACATCACTTTCATGCCAATTCATAAACTTTTTTGAAGGTGGGAGGGTCCCTTTAACCCTCGCCCTTTAGGGAGGGGGGGGTCGAACGGACTCCCCTCGGTTTTTCGCGAATAACTCGTGTAAAAAGCGGCCGATCACGACGTAACTTTTAGTACCCTCGCGTTGATCAATTTTACACCTACCCTGACGGAGGTAGACGGAGCCGCGACACGGCCCGAGCTGAGCCAACAGAGAAGTGAAAGTGATTTGGTGATTCAGTTTTTGGGCCCACTCCGGACTCGGGATCGATTACCGGGTGGGATGACGGAGCCGCGCCGTCTACGGTCCGGCGCGGCGATGGCCGAGTCGGGGGCCGGGACGGAGCCGGACGCCGCCGCCGTCGACATTGACCGGCTGGTGGACGCCGTCGTCGCCCGTTTGACGGCGGCAGGCGTCGGGGCGGAGGCGGCTGCTCCAGTCGTCAAGGAGGAGGAGCCGGAGGTGGTAGAAGATGCGCCTACTTCTCCGTCGCGGGCACAGCGGCAGCTGTGGCTGGCGGAGCTCCGCCGACAGCTCGATGTTCCCGCCGCGACGTTCGGCACCCGCGAGCAGGAGGAGGTCAGAGGTCTCCTGATCATCGGGGAAGGCGGCGGCCCGCCTCCGGACCATTCCCACTGGTTCTGGGGCCGTGTGCGGCTCTTCCTGATTGTCGCCCACGAAGGCTGGGGAGCGGCCGTGCGCGACGCTCGGTCGTCCGACATGGAGCGGCTGGGTATTCACCTGAGCCGAGATGTCCAGCCGCCGGCCGCCGCGCGGCCTCAGCCGCCCCCGCCGCCGCCGCCGGCCTCTGCACCGGCCTCCAGGTGGCGTGGGCGCCCGTCCCGTCCGTCCGGCCTGCGAGTGCCGCCCAGGGGCGCCGCGCCGCCGGCCGCGTCGCGACGTTAAAATTCGGACGGCGCTGCGGGCGGTGGGGACGACGGTCTCGGCTCCCCTCTCCGGTCTCCTGCCGCCCGCAGACTCTCCAGCTCTGCCCACTGCTGGAGAGAGTACCTCGGCTGCCCTGCTGGAGTGTGGCGCCGCGGCCACAGATGGCGCTGCTGGTGGAGGTTCGTGCGACGTCGACCTGGGACTGCTGCCGCCGTCGTCGCCGTTGTTGCTGGTGCCGCCGCTGCCGCCGCCGCTGCCGCCACTGCCGCCGCCGCTGCCGCCGCTGCCGCCGCCGCTGCCGCCGGCGCCGCTGCCGTCGCCGCCGCCGGCGCCGGCGCCGCTGCCGGCGGGGCGGTTTCTGGCGGCGGGGGGCGCTGGCTGTGCCCTCGGGGCGCTGCTGGGGCTCCTTGAGCGGGCGGCTCCTCAGAGTGGTGGTGGGTCGGCTCCGTCTGCGCGGGCCGACCGGGGTGCGGCGTGGGCGGCGTCGCCGTTTTCCGGTGTGGCGTAGTTTGGTGTCCTACGTAGTCCTACGCCCGACCACGGGCGTAGGAACCGCGGCGTCCCCGGTTTATGGCGCGGCCCCGAAGGTCAGGGGCGTGGCCCTGCGCGGCCGGCGCTGGGTCGCGGCGGAGCGGGAGGCGGGCAGTGTGTTGGAGTCGGTTACCGGGAGCGGAGGCAATAAAGGAGAGTGCACGTCTGAGGACTGTTGGAAGCGGGCAACAACACAACATTGGCGCGGTCGAAGGTAAGAAGCTACGTCTGACTTCTGTTACTGAGCATTATTAAGTACTTATCCCGGTTAGGGCAGCCGTTGCTGTGTGTGTTTTTTTTTTTTGCATTCTTATTTTTGCCGAGGTCAGTGAGAGGTGCACTCCACTGCGCACTCGATAACTCACCTGGAGGCGGGGGCAGCGAGAGGTGTACTCTGCCTGTCACTCGGTGCACACAAAAAAGCAATGGATGAGAAAGAACAACCAGGCCAGAAAACCCGTTCGGACAAACTGCTGCGCCTCATTTCTAGGATCAAGAAATTTGACGGAAGTAACGACGAAGGCTGGGATGTTTGGATCCAGCGGTTCGAGCTGCTAGCAGGCTTGGGGGACAAAAGTGAATGGCTCGAAGCGTTATTTATATGCCTAGACGGTAAGGCATTGGACGTGTGCACGTCGATGCCGGGAAAGCTGCGAGGGCAATACGCCGAGGTAAAGAAAGCGCTAAAGGCACGCTTTGGGAAAGACGTGAGCACTATTCACGCATATTCGGACCTCAACCAAGCTATCAGACAAACAGGAGAATCACTTGAGGACTTCGGCGACAGAATCCAGGGGTTGGCCAAGAGTGCCTACCCCGAGAAATCTTTCTCCGATTTACAGTCGGTTATGGTGAGTCAATTCTTGTGTGGATTAAAAGAGCCTTGGCTGCAGAAAAAACTGATGGATAAACCCTTGAGCAGTTTAGACGAGGCTTTAAAGGAAGTGCGAAGTCTCCGTCAGACTCGGGATGCTCTGGCCGCGATCGGAGCCGTCGGCGGCACGAGTGTCGCAGAGGAAGGGCCGTCCGATCAGGTGCTCGTAGCAAAAGCGCCAAAATCGGCAGACCAGCTTGAACAAAAAGTTAATAAGCTGCAGGAGAAACTAGACGAGGTACTGGGCGTCGTCGCTGCGATCGGAGAGGCGCAGAATTCAAAGGACGAAAAGGACCGCCAAAGAAAGAGAAGAGAAGCAAGGTGCTTCGGCTGTGGGGAGCCGGGTCACTTTAGAAGGAACTGTCCGCATGCCTCACCGAGAAGACAAAATGTGTCCGAGAGACCGGAAGCATTTTGTCTGTGCTGTGGACAAGCGGGTCACTGGATGGCTACCTGTCGGAAGCGACCCGAGCTCAGCCGTCAGAGCCAGCATCTGTCGGAAAACTAAGCGCAGCTGCGACCGGGAGGCGGGAAACAGCTGGGAAAAGCGAGGAGCCTCGGAAGACGGCAGCAATGATCAAGGTGATGTTGGAAGGGAGGCAGATTTGGGCCTTATTGGACTCGGGAGCGGACTTCTCACTGATCAATGAAGAGCTGGCCAACTCATTGGAGGAGCAGGGCGACCGGTTGATGGATCAACGGTCAGCCTCCTCTGTTCTCGGGGCTTCTGGAGAACACATTGACATCCTGGGATGTAGACAGATTGAATTCAGGATCCAAGAGGAAACATTCACCTGCAAAGTGGCGGTGACACGAGGCCTCATTGTAGACCTGGTACTGGGGCGAGATTTCGCGTGTCGGTATCGCTCGGTTCTGGACGATGAGGCAGGCGAGTGCCGCATTGGGAAATTGAGAATTCCGCTGCCGTCTTACAGTGAAGTCCAGCCGAGCAGATCAAGGGTACGCATTCTGCAGACATCGATCATTCCTCCACGTTCAGAAGCGTTCGTACTGGCGAAAGTCGAACCTTTGAACGGTGGGTTGCAAATGGCCCCAGGCCAAAGCTTCCAGGGAGTCTTGGAGCCATGTGAGAAAAAGAACGCGGAACATCTATGGGTGCCACGCTCAGTGGCGATCGTCCGAGACAATAGGGTTATCCCAATCAAAGTGGTCAATACCGGCACGACCGAGGCTAAAATCGTGAAGCACACAGACGTAGGAACGTTATTCACCATCTCGGAAGGAGAAAAGGACTTGTACGATATCTGCGAGCAGGCAGATGCGTCAAACGATGCAGCACAACTTTCGGTCACGACTGTTCCAGGTCTGGATTTGGAGAATTGTGACTTGTCAGAAGAAGGTAAACGAGAGCTAGAAGCGCTGGTGCGTGAGTTCTCTGACATATTCAGCAAGGGCGCCGATGATATCGGAAGGACTCATCTCACTCAACATGAAATCAAGACGGGAGATGCCGCTCCGATCAAGCAGAGGCCTCGCCGAATACCACTGAAGCTGCGAGATCAAGTGGAACAACAAAAGGTCGAGATGCTCAGGGACGGCGTCATAGAAGAAAGCACCAGTCCGTGGTGCTCACCGATTGTGATGGTAAGGAAAAAAGATGGAAGCTACCGATTTTGTGTGGATCTGCGAGCTGTGAACAGCGTCACTCAGGGGATGTCCCATCCCCTTCCCCGAGTGGACGATGCACTGGACACTCTGGCAGGAGCGAAATATTTTTCTTCGCTGGACATGGCGTCAGGATACTGGCAAGTCGAAATAGCTCCAGAGGACAGAGAAAAAACCGCTTTTACAACAGGCAAGGGTCTTCATCACTTCAAGGTCATGGCCTTTGGCCTCAAAAACGCTGGACCAACGTTCCAGAAGCTCATGGAACTCATTTTGGCAGGAATGGACAACAAAACGTGCCTGGTCTACATTGACGACATCATTGTCTTCAACGGCACTGAAAAGGGCCATCTCGAGACACTGACTGAGATGTTCAACAGGATCCGCGGAGCTGGCATGAAGCTGAAGCCGAGCAAGTGTCTCCTGGGGAGGCAGGAGGTGACCTTCTTGGGACACAAGGTCATGTCGGGAGGAATACTTCCAGACCCGAGAAACGTGGAAAAGGTGGCTCAGTGGCCACAACCTCAAAACGCTGATGAGCTTCTGAGCTTCCTGGGCTTGTGTGGCTACTACAGCAAGTTCGTCAAAGAGTATTCCGAGGAAACTAGACTGTTACGAGAGGCTGCAGCGCGAAAGGGCCCGCTCGATTGGTCACCCGAGCTGTTGAACGCCTTTGAAAGGATGAAATACGTGCTGACCTCCGCACCGGTGCTACGACTGCCCACGTTCCGAGGCAAATTCAGGCTGGACACCGATGCGTGCAACGCGTCGATAGGCGCAGTCCTCACAGAGACAGTCGATGGTGAGGATCATGTGGTCGCCTACGCCAGTAAAGTGCTGTCTAAGTCGGAAAAAAGATGGCCAACTTATGACAAGGAGCTGTGGGCAATTGTGTGGTCGATACGCCACTTCCGCCAATATCTGGTTGGCTCGCCGTTTACGGTGTGCACAGACCACAAACCTTTGAGAAACTTACCAAAGTCGATTGTGATTGAAAACGACGCTACCGGCAGAAGAGGTCGCTGGGCAGTCGAGCTCAGCTCATATGAGTTCGAGGTCGAGATCAGACCGGGCGAGAGTCACGGCAACGCTGATGCACTCTCACGAAGACCTGCAAGAGGCGAGGTGACACAAGAGGTGGCATCTGACGTCCAGTCAACAGCGAGGTCGCTCATGCCCCCTGTCCATTCCGTTCCGTTCGCGGGTGCGAAGGAACAGGACAGCGGTGAGGTGCCAAATTCACTGAATCGCAATGGAGATGACACGTCAGAACAGAGTCAGCACCAAACCGGAACGACAGCCGTCTGTCGAGAAGCCGAGGACCAGGCGAGCCAGATGTCCAGGTCTGCCAACAGCGGACAGGGCTTCGAAAAAACAGACTGGCGGACGGTCCAGGAAGAAGACGAGGTGCTGTCTGAGGTCATTCGATGGGTGCAGGATGGCGAGGTGCATCGGTTTGATTCGAAGGCAAAAGGAGCTTGGAAGCGACGGATTTTTGCCAGAAATTTTGAAAACCTGGAAATCAGAGACCATGTTTTGGGTATCGTGAGGAATCACAATGAAGAAACCAGCTTCAGGATCCTGGTCCCACAGAGCAAAAAGGAAGAAGTTCTTCAGAGTCTGCATGATCATGAAACAGCGGGCCATATGGGTTTCCGGAGGACTCTAGACCGAGTGATGGAGAGGTTCTACTGGCCTGGTGCGTACGGAGAGGTCCGGGACTACTGCAAATCCTGCGTATTGTGCCAGCGCAGGAACCGGTCGTCTACCGCAGCGAGAGCACCGCTTCAAACCGAACTTGTGAGCCGACCGTTTGAACGTGTGGCGATGGACATAACCGAAATGCCCTGCTCCAGCAGAGGGAACCGCTACGCCCTGGTAATAATGGATTACTTTTCCAAACTGGTAAAAGTCTACCCCATGCAAAACCAAAAGGCTGAGACGGTGGCAGACTGCCTGCTGTTGTGGGTGTACGACTTTGGAGTTCCGGAGCGGCTTCATTCAGACCAAGGGCGGCAGTTTGAGCCAACCGTTTTCCAGGAGCTATGCAGAAGACTTGGTATCGAAAAGACAAGAACAACACCGTACCACCCAGAGAGCGATGGGATGGTGGAGCGGTTTATGAGGACGCTCAAGGACGTCGTCTCAAAGTTTATCGAGCCACAGGGCTCCGACTGGGATTTAAAAGTCAGAGCTGCGGCTATGGCGTACAACTCATCGAAACACGAAACAACACAATACACTCCTTACTTCCTGGTCCATGGACAGGAAGCCCGTCTTCCCGCGGATGCAAAGTTCCGTCCACCTGAACCACTGGTGCAGGTCCAGAGTTTCTTGGAAGACCGATCACGAACCCTGCAAAAGGCATTCCAGGACGCTCGAACCAAATCGGAAGAAGCAGCCAGGAAGATGAAAGGACGATGCGATAAGAAAGCGCACCTTACTGGTTACAAGGCGGGAGACAAGGTGTGGGTGACAGACCCTACGGCGGCAGCAGGAGGTAAGCCAAAGCTTGGCCTCCCATACAAGGGGCCGGCCACCATCGTTAAATCGTACGGAGAGCAGAGTGTGGTGCACAAGGTGCAAGGGCCAGGAGGAAGAATGACGAATGTGCACCACAACCGGTTGAAACCAGCCTTCTCGAGCAGGATTTTCCGCAGGCGAGGTCGCCAGATAACAAGAGCTGGGACGAAGGACGCCCGACCACTTCAGGAGATGGCTGATGGGTCAGCATCGGCACCGGGGTGTCGGAGCAGTCAGCTGTCATTTTACGAGTCTCAGGATGATGACGGTCTGGACGCAGAGGCGGAAGAAAGGGAACACCTTCAACCCAGGGAACCGGAAAGGGCGGAGCAGGCAGATCAGGTAGTAGGCAACAGCTATTATAAAACTCGTTCGGGCAGAGAAGTGAGACCACCAGAGCGATTCCAAGCTCTAGCCGTGCGATTCTGGGAAACTGTATGAAAGAGTGATGTTTTCCCCTAAGCCCCTGACGCCCCAGCACTACTCTTTGTTTATCGAGTGTCCAATGGAAGCCTTACTGTGTTTAAAATTTCAGATGGCGGAGGCAGATCCCAGCGCGGAGGTAGCCGCGCTTCGAAGCGAGGTGGCTCAGCTACGAGCGGAGCTGGCCGCGGCCAAGGCGGAATGGGCCTGTCCCAGAAATGCAGCAGCGGCAGGGCCAAGCGAGCAACCAGCCGCCGACGAGGATGACATCCTCGGGCACCTTCTTCGTCCCGAGTCGCCGCTTCCGGACTGGGCTACAGGCGACGAAATAGACCGCCTGCTACAGGAGGCGACCCACGGCGGAAGCGCTATCTGGAACGGAGCGGAAGAGGCGATGCGGGTGACCATCGCCCCCGGAAACCCGCTCGGAGGCGGGCTCGGACAGCAGGCGGCGGCGGGGTCGGTCGATAAGGGCGACGGCCCCCGAGCCGTCATGGTCGTCCCGGGGTACCCGCTCGGAGGAGGGCGTGGAGGGCGGACGGCGGCAGGTGCGGTGACAGGATCGGCCGAGGATGGCACAGGCTCTGGAGTAGCTCCTGGCCACACGCAGTGCACGGTGCCGAGTGGCACGAGTCGCCGCGACGCGACCGGGGGGGCGTCGGGGTCGGTCGATTGGGCCGACGACCCTAGCGCAGCCCCGGGTCGCACACTGCGTGTGATTTTGGGAGATTCCATCGCCCGGGACGCCCCATGGAGTGGTGGAGTCTTGTGCTTGGCGCGGGGTGGCAACACCTGGCGTCGGCAGGCAGACCGTCTAGAGAGAGACCTTGCGCGCTGGAAGGATGTCGCAGAGGCTGAGGGCCAGACCATGGGTTCTGTGCTGTTATGGCTCGGCAGCAACGACATGTACAAGAAGGACGGAGAACGGGTATCCGACCCAATGGATACCATCAAGGAGGTGCTCGAAGTCCTGGCCGAAAAGGACGTGATCATGATCGGACCCCTTCCACGAGCCTGCGACCGGGGGCGGCGGTGGGAAGACACAAGGGCGTACTGGTTCGAGAGGTCCCTAAAGCGTGCTCTCCCCAGCCGATGCCGCCTGTACAAGCCCGGCCACAGGCTAACCCACATGCTGCGGAGGCAGCGTGTCGTTGGAGACGGCACGCAAAGGGACGGTCGCGTCATCCCATGGTACCGCCCAGACGGGGTCCATCTGACCCCAGAAGGCTACCGGAAGATAAGTGACCTGCTCCCACGGGGATACCTTGGAAGCGTTTAGGAGGACGGGACATCACCCCAGCAGCGGCACCACCACCACCAGCAGCAGCAGCAGCAGCAGCAGCAGCAGCAGCAGCAGCAGCAGCAGCAGCGTCGCAGCGGTGGTAATGATGGGAGATGTTGTCATGAGTGCTGTGCGGTGGCTGCTCAGCGCGGGGAGAGTGTTGGAGTGATCTGGGGTTGCAGTGTTTTGTTTTGGAAGTTATGTTTTGGAAGTTAACCGTTATGTTACTCAGGAGGGTCACCCTGAGGTGGACCCCGAGGTAGGGGCCATTTCTCTAGGGGGGAGGAGTGTGGCGTAGTTTGGTGTCCTACGTAGTCCTACGCCCGACCACGGGCGTAGGAACCGCGGCGTCCCCGGTTTATGGCGCGGCCCCGAAGGTCAGGGGCGTGGCCCTGCGCGGCCGGCGCTGGGTCGCGGCGGAGCGGGAGGCGGGCAGTGTGTTGGAGTCGGTTACCGGGAGCGGAGGCAATAAAGGAGAGTGCACGTCTGAGGACTGTTGGAAGCGGGCAACAACACAACACCGGCGACGGGCGGCGCCGCGTGTCAAGTGGGGCCAGAGTGCGGCCGCCGGTGTCGGTGCAAGTGAGGCCAGACTATTACGTGCGCCATCATCGGGTACACAGTGTTCTGGCTCGAGGCCTCAAGTTACGAGTGCCTTCTGTGGTGCCGCCGATCTGGCGGGCGACTCCTCGGTCTGCGCTGATGGACGCGGCGGTGCATTCGTTTGTGTCTGCGGGGGTTTTGCGGCCGGGGAACCCGCTGGCTTGCTACCGTCTTTTCCCGGTTGCGAAATCTGAGTCGGTTGCGCGTTTGGTTTACGATCTGTCTGATTTGACTCCACTATTGTCGGCCCGTCCATGCAATTTGCCTTCTATTGACAGAGCGTTAGATTTATCGTCTCAGGGTTTTGTATGGGCGATTAAGATTGATTTGCGCGATGGCTTTTACCATATTCCGTTATGTCCGAGCACGCAACGTAACTTTGGGGTATTATATGATAATCATACATATTTGCAGGGGTGTCGTTTTCCGAAAATGATTGGTAGGGCCAAAGGCGGCGGCCGGCCACATGTGGCGGGGCTTAAAAGGTAGGGTACCCCCAAATCTGCCTTTCTCATCGGATTTCGGCCACTTATTTTTTCCCCCTGGTCATTGACAAGACAAACCAAAATCTAAAAAAAAACATTTTGGAAGTCTAGGTCCTCAACGAGCTCCATGCACAAAACGTGCAGTTAAATAGGCAGTTATAATAGTGTCGGACGAATGCACGCCATTCTGAAAGAGGCCCACGCCGACTTAAAAGCACGGCTGTGCTGAAAGGGGCCAGGGACGGTTTTGATGGCCCAAGCCGAATGAAAAAGACGGCTACGGGGCCAGGAACGGCTTTGAAGGCCCACGCCAATCGCAGGGTTCGACAACTAACGAGGTCTCGAAACACCACGATAGTTAGAAAGACCTGCTTGCCAAAATAAAAGGATGACGGTACAAGCCGGCATTCAGAAAGTTACATGCCCGACCATGAAGAAGCAGAGAGATACGTCATCGACTTATTAGACAAAAAAGTTCATTTATTCAAATGACCACCGCTAAGACAAACACATTTCGCGCAGCGCTTCGGCCTTCGGGAGAGCCCTCAAAGTCTCCATAATCAATTGGGTTTTGGACCCATCCCACGTCCAAGACGGCTGCTTTAGTCTCCCTGCAGTCAGCGTAGCTGCCACTGCTAATTTCCTTATGTTGGGGAAGAGGTGGCAACCAGAGGGTGCAGGGTTCGGAAAAAAAGTGGATGCGACAACAACTCGAAGCCACATTTCATCACTTAACTTATCGTCACCCCGCGCAAGTACGCAGGTGCGTGGCCGTGGATCAGTTGCACACTTTATGTCAGCTTCCCTGTAGCCTCTCCTCGATGTCTATCGAATGGACGCACATCATCAATTGTGCGCCCCTGTTTTAGAAAGTTGACAAGCAGAGTTGTTGACAAGTCGGCATACCAAAATGTAACCACTATCACTTTGCCGACTAACTTCAACTCGTACCACTCATTTGGTGGCCGTTACTCGGTGTGCACTGTGCTTCCACTTGCGCAACTCGGCACGGTGTCCCTTAGTGTGAACGTGTGACGCCCACAATTCCTTTACGGTGACAAGTCAATGATATCTTCTAGATACTCGATAAGGGGCCAAACACCCCGCTAAGCCTCCTTTCGAGCTTGCCTTTTCTCTGCAGTGTCAGCAAACGGGGGATACATCTTGCAGAGATCTTAAACATAGCATGATAGATTCCAGTGGCGTAGCCAAGTGGGGGGGGGCACAGGGGGCGCGTGCCCCTCCCATCGGGTCCAGGGGGCCCTTCGGGTCCCTGCGGCGCCAATCGGCCGCTGAGGGTCCACGCTGGTCATATTTCGTCTCAAAGGGACCCCACAGGGCTCGTCAGAGCATCTCATGGGCCCCTAAGTGGCGTATTAAGATCTTCGTAAGTGCCCCACGCCGGCTTCTTAGAGCCCTTGTCACCAGTTAAGGCCCTAAGAGGCCGCCAAGGGCCCCTTACCAGCCTGCCCCTCACGGTCTCTGAGAATCTCTTGCTGGCCTCTGAGGGCCCATTGGTGGCCTTGGCTCTGAGGGCGCATTGGTGGCCTCGGCTCTGAGGGCCTATTGGTGGCCTCTGAGGGCCCTTACCGGCCTATTAGGAGCCGGCTCTACGAGCTGCATGCCCGCCTGTGATGGTCCAACACCAATTCTCTTAGGGCCCCAATAACTGTGAGGAGTGCCTCTGATAGCCCACACCGGCGTTTCTGAGAGCCCACGCCGGCGTTTCTGAGGCCCCTTCTCCCCCAGTTCTGAGGGTCTTCATCAGAGGCTCCTAAGGCCCTACACCAGCGACTCTGACGGCTCCACTGAGTCCACACTGGTGACTCTGAGCCCTGAGGGTCCCAGTGGCGTCTGAGAATACTATTCCGGTCTAAAGGGACCCCCTCGGCGCTCCTGAAGGCAACACCGACCTCTGAGGTCCCCTTGTCGTCCTATGAAGGGCCCGCACCAGCACTCAGCTCAGCAGCTCTAGCCTCTAAGGGTCCCACGCATATCTGTGATGGCCATAAACCAGTGTATCTGAGGGCCCCGAAACGGCGCTTAAGAGGGCCCTCACCGGCGACTGTGCAGGTCCCACTCCGGCGCCTCTGAAAGCCCCACACATATGCATCTGACGGACAACCACCAGTGACTTTTGCGTGGCCCACACCGGCAATTCTGAGGATCCCACCGGAGTCTGAGAGTACCGTGCCGTTCTCTAAGGACCCCACTGAACTTCTGAAGGTGCTGCCGGCCTCTGAAGACCCTTTGCCGGCCTGAGGAGTGAGGACACCTTGCCGTTCCCTAAGAATCCCCTGCCGGCTTGCGAAGGGTTCGCGACAGCAGCTCCTACGGCCCACAGGCCACACACATCTGTGACGAATGTACATATATGCTTATTTGCTTATCTGTTTATTTTGATTTTTTTACCAAGTGACAAAAGATTGGTAGAGCTCAGCGAACACTGGTAGGGCCCAAATAAACATTGGTAGGGCTCGGGCCCTACCAGGCCTATACAAAACGACGCCCCTGCATATTTGTTTACGAGATTGCCGATGGGTTATAAACATGCGCCTGCTGAGATGCAGCATTTTTCTTGTGTCACTGTTAAACTGGTGGAGGAGCGTTTTCCTGGTGTTCGCGGCGTTGTGTATTTAGATGATTTTCTGTTTCTTGCTCGGGACTTTGCATCCCTCGGTGGTATTGTTCGGTTTTTGACGGATGTGGGCTTATGCAATAATTTTGAGAAATCTATATTGTCACCGGTGTCGAGCATTGTATTTTTGGGGGTTGAGCTGAATTTGCGCGAGAGTTCGGCGCGGGTGCAACGCGATGTTTTGCTACCCCTTCGTACGGCGGTAGCTGAGTGCTGTCCGTCTTGGCCGTCGACGGTGCTACATCGTCTGGCGGGTTATGTTAATTTTGTAAGGCCTCTATTTAAGCTGCCTCTCGAGGTTGTGGCGGCGGTCAGGGACGGAGACTGTGCCGCGTGCGCTGCCATTGTGCCGTATTTGGCCGATGATGTGGTTTGGCGGTGGCAAGATCGATGTGCGTGGTCCGAGGCGCATGACCGTTCGGTTTTTGTCGACGCCACTCCGTTTTGTATTGGTATCGTGCGCCCGGGCTGCGCCCCAATTTCGGCGAGATTTCGGTTCGCCCTTCCGATTTATGTTGCGGAATATGTAGCGGCTTTGGTGGCGGTTTATTTAATGTGCGCGGGCACTGCTCCGTTTACAGTGCATACGGATAATTTAGGTGTTAGATATAATTTAGACAAAGGAAGGTGTCCTAGGCTGTGGCTTCCTATTTTATTACTTTTGTTCTCTAGGCGTAATTTTTCAGTTCGTTATATCGCTTCCAGTAGTAACCCCGCCGATGCGCCGTCACGTGACCTCGGCCTGTGACCTGGCGCGATCAGACGATCGCTGTCCGCCAATGAGAGGCATTCGCGCCAAAGGGGTGACCAATCGGATGCAGCGCCATGTGGCGTGATATGTGACTGTTCACTTTGTGCTTGGCTGTCGGTTTAGTCTCGACTCAGGTGTGGTCACAAATACACGGCCCGAGCTGGGCCAACAGTTTCATGATTTCATGACCCTGACGCAAATAACCTTTGACATGTGACCTACTTTTCGAGACCATGTTTGGAAAGATCCGCGATTCAGCGTATGTCGGCTCGCATTAGCAGCGCGTTTGCAGTCTTTTCGTGGTTTCAAGCGTTCAAACATGTGATATGATGTTGCCCCCATGCATTAGGGTGGGTGTCAAGGTCACCTGAAGGTCAGGTCATTGACGTTTGGTGACCTCGGTTCACTTTTTCGAGTTTGACATGTTTCTAGGCCAGTTTTTCGAGCTGAATTCGAATTAAGCAACCACATGAACGTTTACGAAGTAGTTTTGGTGCCTTCGTAACATGTTACGAGACTGTCAGAGGCGGTTGACACCTACTACAAATACCCGGCAGGATCTCTACTGGTTGACCTGACCTGACCTAGCCCGACCTGGCCTAAATGAATGAAGACATCATCTGTGATCAAAACTAGCATGATATTCGTGATCAGCACCCCGAAAAACCCCATAGCAGCCACACTACGACGTTCTAACAGGTCCCAATTTTCCCGCCTTTTGGGTCATTGACCTGACCTGGAAGGTCAGCCGATGACCTAGGACCTTAAAATTGGGTATCATCGGCTTCCTCTCGTCACGGGCAACACGCTCGTTTTTTCCGCGAAGCTCTAGCTTAATCAGGAGCGAAACGGCAAACGGCGAAACCTTATGCGTTCGTGGCTGGAAAAACACCAATACGGGCGAGGGTCAAGTTGAGAGTATTAATTTGGTTCAAAACAATGATGTAGATAAGTTAGTTATTTAAATCTTAATATCCTATGACGAGAGCGATGGACATTTTTGGTATGCA